GATTTACATAAACATTTGCCTCATGAGATGCAGCTGCTCTCTTTGTCCTGTTCCGAAAAAGCTTTATGAAAAAGAAAAAAAACAAAACCATACCAGATAACTGAATTCTCATTTCCAACGGACAAAGAAGTGTTACTCATTTTGTTTACCATTTCATAAGCATAAACTAGAGAGGAAAGAGCCTTTTTAAAGCACTGTAGTAAGATTAGCTAGACACTTAAAATTTATTAAATCAATTACAAAACACCTTCCTTCATAGCACAGTACATTCCCAAACTCCATTGACAGTTTGCATTATTAACTTCTACCTTTTTCGGCTGCTTTCTGCAAGGCTTCCTCAATTCTGGCCAGATCCTTTTGTTTATTATCTTGCAAGTACTTTTCTTCCTTCTCTGCATCATATTTAATGCCTGTAAGCCAAGTTGGGACAGCATTACCCTACATTGCAAATGATGTAAATGCATAATCAAGCAATGTGCACATTCTGAACATTATGTTGCAAAATGACACTTTAAACAAAGGCTATTCTAGTTGCTGAAACCTCCATCCTGCCTCTGAAAATAGTAGGATACAAAAGCTTCTACCAACATTCAAGCATTGTTTTACAGGAGTACCTTTCCACATATAATGAGGCATGTAAACGTGCTCTGCACTGTATAACACGGTGTGATTTCTGCTACACCTGTACATGATATTCCAGAAATTTTAAAGTTTTCTTATTATAACAAAGCATCTGACATCAGAGAAAGGAAATTAGGTTCCCTGATCTTCTTCCCTCCATAAAAATCAGTTCTAACAGAATTACTGCTATTGATTGTTATTAATTAGGAGCAGACTGTATCCTGCAACAGCCAAAAGACCTAAACCATGCCAGAAGAGTGGATTCAAGATAGCACACATCAAAGGAATCACGTTTGTTAAACTGAACTTAGAACGCACGGACACAACGAAGACTTTCCATAAAGGCAACAAGTGCTCTTTTTGCCCACCATCCTTCCACTCACTTCTCTGCATTTGTCTAGAAAGTTCCCTGGGGAACCGAGTGTGAAAAACAGCAGCTTATTTAATGGTACCTTTGGATATTTATCTCTTTGATTATTTCACTATGCTGAGATTACTTACTTGCTCCAGGAACTATAAGAAGATACAAGCCTTCTAGAGTTGCAACAACTGCTTCACCATACAAGTTCTTCCAAGGAATCTTCAGAGTCAGTTTATCTACAAAAAACAGATAAAAGTTAACTCAAAGAAAAACCTACACTGTGATTAGTTTGAACATATAGTGAAGGTCATTAGTTCTATTTCTTCATGTTCTAAATGCCTTAGAAGTTGAGGAGAAACTGTGTGAGTACATCTTTTATGAAGCCCTTGGAGTTAAAAATACACACAGAGAAAACGCGAGCAAGAAGTTGCAGTTTTGAGTCCAAAGACTTCAGATCAAAAACTGAGACTGTGATTGGATTGGAATAGAATACATTTATTTCCAAAAAAACATTTCATTTGAAAAAGCAACGCAGACCTTTAGGAAAAGAATTTTTAACAACATGTATCTAAGAGCTGCTAAACTCTTGGCACGTCTGCCAATCCTTCAGCAATCGTACTTAAGTTCTTCATATTCTTAATCCACCCTTTGAAGAGACACACGTTCCAGCTCTACTAAACAGCTCCCTCGATCATCCACGTACCTGTGAAACATTTCAGATACATTTTTCACACTCAGCCTATAATGTTACACAAACAGGGTTACACAGGGAACTTTTTATCACTTACGCAGGGCAGTCACATTAGACATCTGCACTAGTTCAACAGCAAGTACTATTACAGAGACCACCTAAGAAACCTCAATAAAAGAAATTGAAAGGCAAGACTGATCTTGAGGCTTGTACTCAAAATTCCATTTTAAGATTCAGGTTGAAACAAAACAAAACAAAAATCCTTACCTATCTGGCCAACTTTAACTCTGAAAGGTACATCCAGTTCACTCTGTAAAAGAAAAATAAGCATTAAACAGATTCATGTACTGCAAAGGCAACTTGGTTCGGAGAGCAGAATTATTATCCTGATTACTCTTAAAACTGTGCACACAAAATTGAAGTTCCAGAACAGATGCAGTTCTCTGTATGACACAGGTATCATTAATCAGCAATGCTCATGTGAACATGGGAATCCATAAATACAGTCAGGCTTGTAGAAAGCCAAAAAACAAAGGAGTTACACATTTCTAACAGCTCTTTAATACAAGCATGACAATGCTTTGCAACAAAAGTTACCCAAGAAGTAAGGTTTCATCTACATACGAAAATATAATTTTACTTCTTCGTTCAGTCATTCCACAGGTCTTATCTTTTTGATAATCAGTACAGCACTTAGAATTTTTTAATTTTCCTTCCTTACCTACTCCCTTTCTTACTACCATATTATAAAGATGTTTTTGTCAAGGGCTGTAAGTATAAAGTTATCAGCAAAAGAAGCAGGTAAGACATGAGCAACAAAGAAAAATGAGTGATGTCAAGCAAAAATTTAGCATGTTTTCCCTAATTTTCCTGAGTGCAGTGAGAAGCACACAGAAGCTTGTTGTAAGAATCTTTCAGTAGTACAGCTGTTCTTAGCTCAGGACACAATAACCAACCAAGGATTTTTCAGACAAGAATCAGGGTACTGATTGGAAGCTCTTTCTCGCTTTTTTCCCCCCCCTTCACTGTTACTCCCATTTTAACAGGAACATTTAAATAACCATATTACATGGTTAATCAGTACATACAAGTTACATTCAGACTATAAACATCTCAAACATGTCACCCTTGACAGTTTTAGCTGAGAATCAACTTACATAGCCATAAACATAAGCCTTTATTTCATCAACAGATGAAACTTCTCCCAGTGTACCCTCACCTAAACACAGCATCACAGTCTCTCAGAGGACTTCAGTTATAACAATCTGCAGGAGTCAGGCTTTGAAAATCCATTCATTCAACACAAACAGAAAAAAAGAATACACAGATCTGCGCATACCAGTTGTTCCTAAGTTGTTCTGAACCATACAACCATCTACTGCTTGGACATACAAGTGATAAACCCTATGGAAGTCCAAACTATGACCTTACGGAAATACGATTATGCAGCAGCAGAAGAAATTCAGTTCTCCAGGTTCTACTGGAAGACTAAAGCAGTAACAGAAATGTACAAACATTTTAGTTTTACTATTTCAAGTTTCAAATATTAGGACAGGTGATATCTATGTAGAATCATAGAATTTTTAAAGTTGGAAAAGTCCTCTAAGATCATTTAGCCCAACCATCAACTCATCACCAATACTGCCCACTAAATCGTGTCCCTACCCTTTTCTTGAACACCTTCAGGGATGATGACTCCACCATCGCACTGGGCAGCCTTTCCCAACACCTAATCACTCCTTCCGAGAAGAAATTTTTCCTAATATCAAATCTGAACTTTCCCTGCCACAACTTCAGGCCATTACCTCTCATCCTGTTGCTACTATTTGGGATGAGAAGGGGACCCCCATCTTGCTACAAACTCCTTGCAGGCAGTTGTAGACAGCAACCCCTGAGCCTCCTCTTTTTCGCACCGAATCATCCCAATTCCATCTGCAGCTCCCCACAAGACTTGTGCTCCAAAGCCTTTACAGCTTTGCTACCCTTCTCTGGACACACTCCAGAATCTCCACAACTTTCTTGCAGTGAGAGGCCGAAAAACTGAACACAGTGCTTAAGGTACAACCTCACCGCTGCCAAGTACACATGGACTACTACCTCCCAGTCCTGCTGGCTGCACCTTGGCCACCCTGGCACAGTGCTGGCTCACATTCAGCTGTCAACCAGTAACCCAATCCTCTTCCTCCATGCAGCTTTCCAGTCACTCTGCCCCAAGCCTGTACCTGCACATGGGGTTAGTGTAACTGAAATGTAGGACCTGTACCTGGTATTGTTGAACTTCATCCCATTGGCCTCAAACCATCAATACAGCCTGTTCAGATGCTTCTGTAGGGCCTCCCGACCCTCAGGCAGACTGATATGCAGAAAACATCAGAAACGTACTTGAAAATACCATTGGTCATTTCTCAGAAGCACTTTTCTTGGGCGTGTACTTATGATATAACCTGTGGACTTTTTTCCCTTTGTTCCAATACCATTAGCAATGTCAGAAGCCGTTAACCAAGTACCACTTTCAGTAACAAGCAAAGAAGGCACACACTGTGAAGCGAGACTACACACAGTAAGCAGACCTGGGGCTTAGTCCTTAGAGCCACTGATACAGCTTGAGAATTACTGGAATACTTACCAGTGCATTCTCCTTTATTTGTAAGTTGTCAAGTGCGACATTACCTATGTGGAAGAAAAACGTTCAGTGATTTCAACATCTATGCAAAGCAAGCTGGAACAAGGATAACAGCCACAGCCTTCCAAATATAAGGTCTAACAATAGGGAGCACAGGCACATAAGAGTCACACACGTGGAAAACTGCACATGTAACACCAGAGTGCTTCAACACCACACTTCCTAGGGCTATGTTCTTTATAATATAGGTATGAATCATTCCCCGCCATGGCAACTGCGCAACCGAGCTGAGAAGAAACGCTTCGGCCCTCGGGGCACGCGCAGCCCCCACAAGAGCCGTCCATCAGCGGGCAGCCGCCCCGCCCCAGCCCCCTCAGGGGCACCACCCGCCGCCTGGGGGCGCCAACAGCGCGGGAAGCCGCGGCCCCGTCGACCACCGCCGCCCCTCACGAGGGAGCGACGAGGCCCAGCGCCCGCCGACTGACCGCCCCCCGGGGGGTGGTCCGCTGTCCCTAGCCGACCGACCGCCCCTCCGGGAGCGCCGCGGCCCTCGTAGCGACCGCCCTCCGCGGGGGAGCGAGCAGGAGGTAGGCTCCGCGGCCTCGGGCCGCCCGCCCGTTCCGCACTGGGGCCGCCAGCCCTCGGGGGACCGGAGCCAGCGAGACCCGCTCCCCGCGAGGAAGCGCCCTCCCCGGTGGCAGCGGCGGCCCCGCTGCGCCACAGAGCCGGGTCGGAACGGGCTCCTTACCCCCCCATATGCCCAGTTTGAGCTGGGATTTGTTCAGGTTCTCCACATAGTCGCCCAGGAAGCGGTTCAGCAGATCCGCCACCACCGACTCCAGCACCATAGCGGAGGCGGGCCCACCGTACGCCGCCCGCGGCCCACCGTGAGCGGAGAGCGGCGCGGAGGGGAGGGACCAGGGAGGGGTGGCGGGGCGCGGCGCGAGGCAGCGCCGGGCGCGTTCCCGCGGTCAGGTGACGGGGCGGGGCCGCGCAGTGCCACACGGAGAGCCGGGGCCGCGCAGGGGTTGGGGGGACGGCGAAGCGCTCGGGGTGGCTGCGGAGCCGCTGTTTGGGGGACTACGGGCAGGGAGCGGAGCGGCCCCGAGGCGGGAAGCAGCGCGCTGAAGGAGGCGCGGGGAGGGCGAGGGTCGCCTCGCAGCGGTGCTCGCTGATAGTTCTTCCTGTGCACAGAAGAACGTTCGTGTTCAGCCAGCCGCCCGAGTGACGTGAAAACTGACAGAAAAGGAGAACGAGGAAGGGGAAATGAGTACTGGCAATACTCAGGCCTCAAGAATACATGAAAATAAGGCAACGTGGAGACAATTAGAGACGAGGGAGGCAAATCACAGAATCACCAAGGTTGGAAAAGACCTATAGATCACCCAGTTCAACCGTCCACCCATCACCAATAGGTCTCACTAAACCATATCCCTCAACACAGTGTCCAAACATTCCTTGATCACCTCCAGGGTTGGTGACTCTTCCCTGGACAGCCCATTCCAGTGCCTGACCACTCTTTCAGAGAAGCGGTATTTCCTAACATCCCGCCTGAATCTCCCATGTGCAGCTTTCTAGTCCTATCACCAGTTACATGAGAGAAGAGGTCAACCCCCAGCTCACTGCAACCTCCCTTCAGGTAGTTATAGAGAGCAATGAGGTCTCCCCTGAGCCTCCTCCAGATTGAACAATCCCAGCTCCTTCAGCTGCTCCTCATAAGGCCTATGCTCCAGACCCCTCACCAGCTTTGTCCCCCTTCTTTGAACCCGCTCCAGGGCTTCAGAGTCTCTTGCAGCGAGGGGCCCAAAACTGAACACAGTTCCCAGCTCAAGGTGCAGCCTTACTAGAGCAGAGTACAGGGGAACAATCACTTCCCTGTTTCTGTTGGCAACACCATTCCTGATGCAAGCCAGGATGCCATTGGCCTTCTTGGCCACCTGGGCACACTGCTGGCTCCTATTCAGCCAAGCATCAATCAATACACCCATGTCCATTTCCTTGCACAGTCTTCCAGCCACTCTGCCCCAAGCCTGTAGCATTGCCTGGGGCTGTTGTGGCTAAGGGCAGGACTAGGCATCTGGTCTTGTTGAACCTCATCCCATTGGCTTCAGCCTAGCTATCCAGCCTGTCCAGATCCCTCTGTAGGGCCTTGCTACCCCCAAGTGCTGCTTCAGAAAGCTGATAAAAACATTGTGGAGCTGAATGCAAGGGTGTTTTAAGAAACCACCGCTAAAGGAACAAGTTTTTGCAAACTGATAAAGGTCTATGAGCAGCTGTAGAAGAGGTGGATCTGAAGGGTTGTGTGTGGTTATCTCCATTGTGCAGGAGGCACGAATGTGAGGTCACCCCTGTATGTATGGATCTGTTAAATCAGCATGTTCAGTAAAGCATACGGCCAGCCCAGAGCAAACGACAGCACAAGAAGATTCCTTATTTAGTGCTGTACCTCAATGTGTGCCACATCTGTACATTGCTAGGATGCTTAAATGCTTAAGTTTTCCACAAGCATTTTTCAACGTTTAAAGCGCGAGGCAGAACACTGCGCCTCTAAGACCAAAGTTCAGATCTGCAGTGGTTCCTGAACACTTGATCCGTGTTGATCAACAACTTGTTGATCCATGCGATTGGGTGGGAGAAGTTGTATGGCAGAATGCTGGAGACACGTGGAAATTGTGGAAAGGTTCATCAGTGGGAAGTTTCACCCTTGTATACCTGTAGGCACCCACTGGTGAGCACCAAGAGCTCACTGAATGCCTTTTCCCTTGCACTTAACTGTGGCAGTTCTTGGACAAGAGCTGTCAGATGCTATATTAAAATGTATTAATCAAAATCGTCTGTGTATGCAGCATTCTGGGCCTTTTGCAAGGCTGGTTAATGCCTGTATGTGGATAAATTTCTTTCGAAGAATTCTACCTGTGTCAAGCCAGAGGTGATTCCAAGGACCTTCCCACTAAACGTGTGATGATATCTGACATGATTACTGTAACAGATGAGATTTTTCGTTAGAGAGTGGCATTCGAGTACCACATTCTTGTGCTATGCTCTGTTTAGCTTCAGAAAGGAAGAAAAAATTCTAATTATTTAATTTATAGAAACTACAGAAAGTGACAATTTTTTTTTTACTTCTTCCATGCAGTGCTGTCTGTGCAGAGCCATTTGTACCCTTGGGAAGCATCAGTGCAAGAAAACAAGGTAGGAAGTTGTGTGCAGAGCTTCTGCTGCCATTCTGATTGGTAACAAACTTTCGTTTGTGATTATTACAGTAAAACTTTAAAAGAGCTTTGCTTATTGTGCTTTGTGTATATAAACTGTGGCTGAATAGCTAAGCTTCGAGCAAAAGCTAATCAGTGACAGCTCATCCTCTTACTGTATATAAATTTAAGAGCAATTGTGCAAATCAGTGGCACTAAATGTTCTCTACAACAATTATATAATATAAACAGGATGATAAAACCATTTTCTTTGCTTCTCGTAACAGCTGTATTGATTTCTGCACAGAAAATTCTGCAGAGATCAGTTTATCACAACTATAAGTTGTTGGATAACAGGTGAAAACAGCGTTTATGTGGTCAAACCATTGTCTAATTAACCAAAATGATTTTTGAAAATCATCTTTGTTACAGCATGTAGTTGAATAAATGAAATTTCTGTTGTTGTTTACAAACATGCTTTCCTAACAAACACAAATATGTGGCCTAGTGGATCAAAAATTGCTCCCAAAATAATGTGATTTCACCTGGAACTGAATTCCCAGAAAGCCCAGCCTGTGTCAGGTATCTTGTTTCAGTAAAATCTGCATGTATTTCAAAAGCAAAATAGAAGGAATACAGAGTGGAATTATGAATGGGCAAGCTGTGAAGAAGGCAGTTACATAGATATTTTATTGTACTGTAGACATACGTGCAGTTTCTTTTAAGCACTGAGATTTCTGAAATAACAGATGCAGAACAGAAACGTTGGTATTTGCTTACCATTCACTGAAAGCACAGATAATGTTCATTCACTGCAAGGAAGAACCTATGCATTCTGCCCATTTTTTTCTAAATACCAACATTGAATAGGCATTACTGGTTTAATAAATATGAATAGAGTCAGTAGTTTAACTCAGCTGAAAGTCCTCAAAACCACGTTTCTTGTGTACTATGGTTGCACTTCATTATTTCCTAAAAGGAGCCATAAACACAGCACTGTAACACTTAACGTTGTGTTTTACTGTTTATGTGGCAAGATTTGCTCAGGTCCCTCAGGTAGAACTTCCTGAAGAGCAAAGCCTGAAAGAATAGGAAATCTGCACAGAAAGTATTGGTTTCAATTTTTAGTTTTATGAACAGAAATACACATCGTAACAGCAAATTTTTTTTGGTGTTGCCTGTTACACAGTCTTGCACACATAAATATATAAATATCACAGCATAAAGCTAATTTGAGGTGGGTACATGGATTGATCACTTAATAACCCAGTTTTCTTCTCATCTTTTACTGCATTAATATTACAGAATCTCCAGCTCCTACCATCTGACTGTTGGCAAGTGAACAGATGGCAAATTTTATCCACTATACCTCAGAAAACAGAGTGCATGCCTGTTAGCAGTTGGGAAATCAGCCAAGTAATGTAGCATCGGCTCTCCTCATCACAAAGCCTCCAGGGATTAGAGGACTTTGTGATGAGTTAGATCAGGTTGCCAAGAGTCTTGTCCATACAAGTTTTGAAAATGTCCAAAAATGGATACACCACAGCTTTGCTGAGTATCCTGTTCTTTATCCACCCGAATTCTGAGAGGTTTTTCACTCCTTTTAGGTGCTGAGAATCTCCTGTTAAATAATGTCTGATTGTAACATTCTCAGAAGACATAACTTTATATTTAAGACATACATAGATTTTAGACTTAGTGGATGCAGCAAGTCAGTATTGATAATTTTGCCATCCTTCTTTTTCTAAAAATGGTAATGACAATAATAATAATAATAATAACTCTGTGGAATTAATACTATTTTATGTTGTTGCTGGGCCTATGTTTTTTATTTTATACTGTATTTTTCACTGTTTTTAGTCTTTCTTCTAAGTAGTGCACAGGAGATTTTGTTCATAGTGAATGCCTTTACAGAAAATAAGGGAAAACAAAAGATGGCTTAACACTTTTACATCAACTGCTAAAATGAAGGATGAAAACCACCCAAATTGACTTGTATAAACTACATGAAACTGCTAAGTAGTAATATCCTGAGATCAGTGTTGGGAACTCTTGCAATACTTGTTTCAAATACATCAGCAATCATTAAGTCAATTGATTTGGACATATTTAGATGGCTGAAACACTAAGAAGATGTCAACATACAGCAGTAATCTGCTATTCCTTTCCCTTGTGACAGCTGGAGTCTCACAGTTCTCAAGGGAGAGCCTTGGAGAACTCATATTGATACTGTTTCACTGTGTCTTTTTCCCTCTCTGTGACAGAATAATAAAGTATAAAAGATTTCTAGGCACAGAAAATATAAGAACTGATTGGTAAGTAAATGAAAGTGTGTCAGTATATGAAGACAGCATTAACTTCATCTGCTACACTCGGGCATAGTCATTTTACAAAGGGAAAAAGTTTGTCTTTAGTAATAACAATAACTTCATCCATCTAGAGAAACCCCAGTTTTGTTTCTCCGGATAATTTAAACTAGATATATTGTCTAAAATCTAGTGCAATGGCTGGATTTATTCCTCTATATAGGATGCCACCTCTGTTTCTGAATAAATAGATATTCTACTTTTCCCATTATTCTCCAGGACAAGCTTCACTTCGACTGTGAATTAGTTTTCAGATAAATCTGGATTAAAAAATGGCATTCCTGCAGACTGTACTTCATTCAAAGCCAAGACTCAAAAATCTTCATAGCTTTCATGTGTTTACAAAAGAACAAATACTGCATAAATACCACATGGTAAGAAATAACACTGTATCTGTACAATCTTACTATGACAGGTAATTTTCAAGGGAATCATAGAATCATAGAATGGCCTGGATTGAAAAGGATCACAATGATCATCTGGATTCAACCCCCTGCTGTGTGCAGTCGCCAACCAGCAGCCCAGGCTGCCCAGAGCCACATCCAGCCTGGCCTTGAATGCCTCCAGGGATGGGGCATCCACAGCCTCCTTGGGCAACCTGTTCCACTGCCTCACCACCCTTTGGGTGAAAAACTTCCTCCTAATATCCAACCTAAACCTCCCTTGTCTCAGTGTAAAACCATTCCCCCTTGTCCTATCACTATCCACCCTCATAAATAGTGGTTTTCCTCCTGTTTATATGCCCCTTTCAAATATTGGAAGTCCACAATGAGGCCTCCCTGCAGCCTTCTCCAAGCTGAACAAGCCCATTTCCCTCAACCTTTCTTCACAGGAGAGGTGTTCCAGCCCTCTGATCATCTAAGGGAGTTCAAAGCATCATTTCCTTTACCTGCTGTATCTTAACTGTGTCTAGGAGATTTCTTATTTAGAACCTGCATTTTTGCATGAAATTTCTAAGCCAAAAGGCTTGGTCTCTCTGATTAGTATTGATCACATGTATGTCATACCAACTGAGATCTGAATTATAAATTACTTCAATATCTTTAAGTTGTAACATGAAATAATCTGACTTAATTTTTTATGAGGACTTTATTTGATAGTATTTCTGGAAATCATAGATTTTTTTCTTCAGTGATGAGCTGTGAAGATGAAAAAGCCACTAGCTATATAAGAAAATTGCTTGATATGAAAATGAACTTGTTTCAGTGGATAAATTGCCTTTGAGTGGGGAAAAAAGAAATAATATTCTAATCTGCATAAGTGTATTTTTATTCACTTGACAGGAATTTTTTACTTACCCATTGTGAAAGCATATGTGAATATCTATTAATCCAAAGCCAAATAATTTAACTTGATAACATTAAATTAACTCCTTGCCCAAGGCGGTTGTAGATGCCCCATCCCTGCAGGCATTCAAGGCCAGGCTGGATGTGGCTCTGGGCAGCCTGGGCTGCTGGTTGGCAACCCTGCACACATCAGGGGGTTGAAAGTGGATGAGCACTGTGGTCCTCTTCAACCCAGGCCATTCTGTGACTCTATGATTCTATGATAAAAATGTCAGTTATTTTCATATTCACTTGGATGTTTTAACAGTTTTCCAGCAAAACTCTCAAAATGATGATGATAGAATTGTACAAATAAAAATTTATGGGTGGCTTTTTTGGCAAATTACTGAGTGGTTTTGAAGGGATGGGATGCTGAAAGGTTGCATGTTCACTTATTTATTATCAGCTGAAGTTTGCTTCTTAAATGACTAAGAGAAGAACAGAAGGATGTTGCAGTTATAACACCTATTGTTTACTAAAAATGCCAAATGTCACTTAATATAAACTCAAATCAAAAGAGTTTCTTCTCACAGAAGTCTCACGTCAGACATTGCTGTACTAGACTATTGCTTTTGGTTAAACGAAAGATTTCTCTTAACAACAGGAAGTACAAAATCTTTACTATCACCTACTTTTTACAATGTTTATTTATGAGATATCCTAAAATGTTCACGATCTTACTTGAGGCTGAAAATATATGATTCCTTACTCGGTAATGCATTACACCAGTTGGAGGGTCAGACAGAAGTAACAAGCACCGAGGTTAACTGAAAAGTAAGAATTGTGGTTCAGATACCTGTTTGTTGAATGTTCCCCAGAAAGCTTGGAAATGCAGTCCACGAGACTTATTCATGAAAATATACTGAGCGTAGCAACAGTGACAGTCCTAACATGTCTTACTTACCTGAAGGCTTGTAAGCTCTCACAGATGGAAGGGACTGATGGGCATACCAAAACTATGCATTTGTTATTTCTCATTGTATAACATGCATAATTTTGCCAAGATGTCTTAAAAAGTCTGTAAGCAAAAGCCAACTGAAAAAAGAAAAATGCTGGTTAAACGACATAATAAATTGTCAGTTAGGTCATTCTCAATGAAAAGGAGAAGGATACAACCTGATCGCCCATATTTCTATGTTATTATCTAGTTCTAACAACAGGAAATGAAGAACAGTCAAGCCAGAGGCAAGGCAGGGTGGGGGAGCAGAAAAAAAATATTTCTTTACAAGGAAGAAGGTCGCCATATCAGTTGTTTCTTTGATAAAAAAAGCAACAAAAACACAGCTAGAAAACTGTGGATTTCAACATAGATGATTTGCTACATCAGTCATTCCAGCAGATCGAGGCACTGGTGCATCAAAGGAGGAATCCTGTCATTAGCTATAGTACTGTTGGTACAAGTAGCACATTTTTATATATTTATTTTCTTATTTCTTCTGTTATTGCAAATCTACGCTGCTTGATGCAAATGTGCTCTTTTTCTCCTTTACTCTTAATCATGATATTGATCCAGGGCTCATCTTGCACACAGTGTGTGTGCACAGTCAGGGTGCTCCGTGGGCTGCAAAAACCTTTATTCAAAGGTGAACTTTGGCAAACTTTTCCCCAGTGGGTCAGAAGACACTGCAAGGGCATACTCAAGACCAGGTATGCTGCTAATTTTGGATGGGATCTCTACTGTGATCTCTCGTTACAGAAGAACATGGCCTTTATTTTTTTTTTTTCCATTTCAGTGTTGAGACCAAATAGTCATATGAGAAGAAGCCTTTGAGAAGTATTTTGAAAGCCTATCTGATTTCAGGATTTATAATATTTAAATTTCCAGTGATGGTAAATATGCTTATCAATCCAATTTTACTGTTTCATATTCCTAATATAGATGTACATTATGCTGTGATTCTCACATAGTAAGTGTGTGTGTATGTGAATAAAAGTGGCAAGTTATCAGGTATTTCACAAGTGAGGCACTCAGAGGTTAGGTTTCAACCTATGATATTGAAATGCAGTACTCCAATTAAAATATATATATATCTGCCTTTAACTTCTTTATCTTTTAGTTCTACTCAACTGAGAAGGAGAACTGAGCAGCCCAGGCCCGATTTTGAAAGCAAAGTCTGCCTTTTAACTTTCACTCTTCTATTCATACTTCCCTATCCTACACTACTCACCAAGAATGACGGCTATTTTACAAAGTCCTGCACAGCCAACATCCCACTGCCAGATTCATATAAGTAATGATAATGATGCAGTGAAATCTAAACTTCATTTATTTTGGTAATTTTAATAATGATAGTTCATAATGTTGTAGATGTCAAGTTTGGCACTTAGATTGTGCTAAATCCAAAGCTTTAAATTCAGTGCTGTAATTTAACTCTGCCAAAAGTGAAGGCAGGGCAGGTGGATTGAGTGTCATGACTTGAAAATTTGTACAGTGCTTTTGAGTGCCTGAGCACCTTCGGATAGTGCTGAGTTCAGCTTCTGAAACTCTTCCCTGTTTTTGACATCTGAGAACTAAACTAAAACCAAACTAGAATTCACTGGTTTTCTTTTTTTTATGGGGTTATGAAATGAGTAAATTTTGTTGTGATAGAATATAAACGTTGTAACAAATCCAGTTGCAGATAGACACTATTGTATAGGATGGCTTTGCTGTTGGAGCCAAGAATAGTCAATAAGATTAAAAACTGATAAAGTTGTCACGCTCCAGATAAAAGACCAGCTTTGCTTTGTCTTTTGCTCCCCAAAAGCTTGCAGAGTTTATTGTATCTCTGCAGATATTGTTAGCACAACCTTCACCTTTCATCAAACTGTTCTATGACCTCATCCAGAGATCTGTAGCTGCAGTGTGATTAAGTCACGTGCCAGTGTAATGTGACTGAAGGAAGAATCCTGTTTCCTTGTCCTGTGGTTGGGAGAGGAAGGATTTCACTATACAAGAACTGTCAGACATCATAAACTGAGCTACGCAGGTCACGCTGAAAGTAGTGTCTCCTATTTATTTCCATGGAAACTACAATAGATGCAAAGAGCACAATAACACTGCTCGATGGAGCAAATTCTCAGTTACAAAACACTATTTTTCAACTATTTTTCAAGAAGCATGTCAATGGCTGCAATTTTTTTCCATGTGAAGGAGTTCATTTCCACCTTTTTGCTTCGTCCACACTTCCATGTCAGATGCTATTCTGTCAGACTGCTCCTCTGCTGCCATCTGTCACAGCAACAAAATGTAACAGAATATTTGTGGGAATGAGTAAGTTCTGCCGTTCCACCAACATCTGCCTCTGATGTCAGGGACCAACACAGTAAAATAAGAGGCAATACTTTTTGAGCATCCCTCATACAGTAGCTGAAACTCCATAGAGCTGACTTTTTTTAAAAGTGTACAGGGACTGGAGTAGTGATCACATACAGAAGTGATTGTGGCAGTGTAACTGCAGGCCAAACTCCATAGGAAAGCTTCTCTTCTGATTTTGGTAAGGACAGTGAATGATAGGCAGGAGAATGCTGAAGTATGGTAGGCAAAAAGTGCAGAGAAATAGAAATAACCGTTTTTCAGGAGGAGCTGAGATTTGAGCTGTTCCTTGTTATCACCTTAACAGAATATTGAAAGACCCCGCGCACAAAAGAATAAATCCTGTGGCAATGATTTTTAGTTACACTGTCAGTTCAAATGTGTATCTCATAGCTGTACAGTACCAAAATGCAGCAGTGATATGATCAGATACAGTGCCTGCAGAATTGAACTCTGCTCTATGGAAAATCGTAGAATCTAGCGAATGGAGGCTGGGGAGGAGATTAGGCAGCAGATTCAATGTAAATATCCAAAGAAGTTAATCCTGTGTCACCAGACTGAAATAATTTGCCACGTAGATTTATCAAAAGATCTTGTCATACCAGTTGCTGTCTTTCTTAACTAGCTCCACTAACCAAAAGAATTCAACAGAACTAATTTAAGAAGATTTAGACAGTGCATTTGATACAGTGTCTAGTGGCAAATCACTATTTTTGAAATATTAAGTTCAGTTATTCTTTAAAAAAATTGAATTATTTTAAAATCATTGTATTAAAATAGAGAGCAAAAGAATATGTGTAAGTATCACATGGCTAAAGATGAGTTTGTAACAGGTTATCCTCAAAGAAAAATTCTGAATATGGAAAAGGAATCCATCACATGGATTCCTGTTCTTCATGTACTGCTGTTGATGTCTAATATGTTTTGTATTTAAAAATAAGTAGAGCAGAAATCCCAGATCAACCTGAGTTCTTACGAAATGTGCAGATAAAACAACACAGGACAGTATGACCAACAGCACTAATGGCTACTTTATCATTCAGGAAGCATCAGACAGTGTTGTGGTCTGGATAGATTGATGTCCTTTTAATCAGCAATCCTTAAACTGAACAGTCTCATTATTGAGTATACCAGTGTAAACCACAGTACTCATCATTGATCCCAGTGATTGCTATAAGAAAGTATAGTATCCCAAAAGACAGAATCTCCCAGATCTATGCTTCAGTGGTCCCAAAGAGACCAAATAAAGGCACACAGCAGCCTCTGCTTTCCCTCATTAACCACTGGAATCAGTCCACTGTCATAGAAGGAAGTCAGCTGTCATGTTCCTACTTTATTATGTGCCTTCAAATCATCAAACCACGTCACCAGGGCCAGAGGTAGCACAAGGAAATCACCTGCTCTGTTCCCTTCCTTTGTTGCTCTCAGCAGACTGGGTCCTTGTTTATTACACTTCTAAAAATCAGTGCCACTTCCTTTTCCTTGCCCTTCATTATGATACAGATAAAAAGCTTTCCATACGAAGATAAAATAAGAAAGAACCGAGTTTTTTTGGCAACATCTGATTCAAGTTTGGTTTTTTTTTGACAATTCTAGCTGTATTGTAGCCTTCCTGACTGTTCAGCAGATTGCTGTATAGCCTCCTGCATCCTACTTACGAAGCAGTAATGGCAGCCTGGAATAAACTGGAATATTTATTAATTATTTGTAGGAAATACTAGGAAACAAACTCTTCTTTACTATATATTCCATAGCCCTAATCACCAGCGTCCAGTAATCAACCTATTTATGGATTTAGCCTTACTTCATAAGTTGGATTTTCTCATGAAACCATTAACCCCCTGAACAGTCAGCATACGTGACTTCTTATGGATAAGAATTGTATTGTAAGTTGTTGTACATATTTTAAGCTGTCCCTTATCAGAAGTGAGTAAAAGCTTTTTAATAATAACATAAAAAGTTACAACATATCAACCCTCTTTTCCAGATATTTTTTTTAGGTGAAAGGTTGTTCTTGGCATATGAGAAAGGAATTAACAGCCTCTGCTAGTTGTGCTTCAATTTTTTTTTTTTTTTTGACAGCAGCAAACCATATGTACTTTTTCCTGTTGTTACTTTAACAAAGAAACGCTCTGTTAAATATTAAACACATACATGAATGAAGCACTTGCATGCTGTGCTGCTGGAGACTGTAGAAATCGGTGTGATGATCTAATCTACTTGAATGACAGATCTCCTGACTTGCAGATTTTAAGACTTCAGTGTAGTAATTCTGAACTAGAGACACGCATCAAAAGCCCTGTTGTCCTACACTTTATACAAAATCCTAGTCCTGTAGATGAATTAACTGCAGAGGTGCAGGGTCCATCTGAATTCCATAGCTGGATTAGGAGCCTCTCATATTCAAACATTTCAGTATTGACATCTCAGTTTAAAAGTCACTTAAAATATCAAACTTAATATTTTTCCTGTAGGTTGAAACCTCTGAAGCAGTACTGTCACACACAGATGTCCTGTCTCCTCTCCACATTGCATTTGTTTAACTCTCATTCACCTTCATGTAATACCTAGTTATGCTCTGGTTAGATACCTATGTATTTTGCCCGAATAAACATTTCTTTCTCCTGCAATTCTGAGAATTAGTCAATCACTATAGTTTCAATGTTTTTTTTTTAATATTTGCTCTCCTCTAAAATACACAAACTAAATCTGCACTGGATTTAAATTAGACACTGAGTTGTTCTAAAAACGTTTTCCCTGTTAAGTGGGAAGCAACTAGTAATGGTAGAACAGCCAGTCCCCACTGTAAATACTAAGGACTGACAAATGTGGCAGACATCTTACTATCCTCTGAACTGAACTAATTTTTTTATTTGCTTGTACTTTCTCATAGAATAATTGGAGTCAGTGTGAAAACACAGCCTTTTGGCAAAGAACTCATGAGCTGGCAAACAGCTTCAGGAGACAGTGGACTCTAATTAGAATCAAGGAGTTGGCTGCATGTAAGTAGCATGTAATTGGCCATGTAATACACACTGTCTGTAGTTTATCCACTTTCACTTTATGAGAAGAGATGTGATAGGAGCACTTGCCCTTATGGCAACTAGCAGATCTTATTCTGGTGTAACATACACGCCATAACTGTAGCGTTGGCTTTGTTTAATTTGCAATGAAGTTTAGTCCCTATAGAGTCTGTGGGGCCTCTGAAACTGATAACTGCTATCAGAGTTTTAAAAGTTCCTTACACTATCCTAAACTTCACATCAACACTATGTGTGTATCTCTGCCATTAAAATAATCAAATCTGAAGATGGTGATACTTCTCTTGAGAACAAGAAAAGTATTTAAAATAACCTGAGTCCTAACTTTATAGAACATGATCATTTTGCCCATAAACACATCAGATTTACCTGCTTTGGGTGTATACAGTTTAGAGAACTACTGTTTTAAATTGAAACAGTCTTCAAGGTAGAACTGTCCAGAAGTAGAAAAAAAGGTTCCTTGGCACTTAGATAGTAAAGGTGGTAGGCACTGAAGCTTCCTGTCACCTGGATCCCTGAACTCTAGCTGACGTTTGCCAACATAGATATCATCTGATAGAACTAACATCAGCTGATCTCCAATTTCATTATAACAAGGCAGTCTGTAAGAGCAGACATATTTCTTGCCTAATACCCTCAGTCAGCAGCTTGTACCGCTGAGGTAATAGTTATGCAGGAAGAAAAACACTGAGCAGATGGGTATGTTTACTGGGGAGCAAAACTGTGTGCAGAAGCAGAACTTACAATATTTCTGGGAATTAGTGTAGTCAGGAAAGGATAAAAGCATATTATAATTAATAACTGCATCCATCAGCTTAATTACAAATTAGGTTGTGAGGCTGTGACTGGGAAACTAAATTTTTTCCATTTTTCTCTTTCATAATTAATGCTATTGAACTGTATATAAATGCATTTTTTTATTTATGAGATACTTCTGAAAACATTTCTATGAAGCATTCCAATGAATTTTTGCTACAGCATTACAATCTCTGCAGTTCCTCAAGATGAGCTAAATAAATCTTCTGTTCTAGGCAACATCTTTTGCTCTGTGAATCCTGGGTCTGGTCAGCTCCAGGTTGCTAAAGTCCTCCATTACAGATAGATCTTTACCATAAGGAAATAACTTCTCTTTCGATCATCTGCTGCAAAATTAACACACAGCAAATCTTCTCTTTGTTGGACACACACTTTGATTACACACTGCACTAACTTTATGATTTCATAAACTAATGAACTAAGCCAATATAACTGGTAACACACTGATCTAATCTCAGTTGCCATTTTGGTTTGATTATAACATTCAGTAGGTGAGCCTATGTAGTGTGCTTCTGTGATGTTAATATTTACCTTTGTATTTAAAATAATAAAATCAGAAAAAGCACACAGAACTAGATTATGCCTTCATATTTAATAGCCCTTTACAGATCCCTCATGTAACACAAATGAGGGCTTTAAAAACATATGCCTTTATTAGAAAAAATCACCCCAGAAAAGGATGAATTCAAACTTATCTGCTTGCGTGATCAGAGAACAGGTAAGTGTATCTCCTGCATATTCTACAGGAGAAGAATAAAAGAGCTGGACTTGGGTAGCCTAGCAAATTGGAGGGTGATAAAGACACAGCTTTTCTTCATAGATGTCACAAGTGCTATGGAGGCAGGAGAGCTAATGAGGCCATGCTGTCAGCTGTCAAAGGCTGACTGTGGCTGAAGATAAAGGAGCATATTCATTACAGACTAAGGCTCTAGTCAAAGTTTATAGTAGGTCAAGTCCAAAAAATCTGAAAAGTGGGACTACTCTACAACTGAGATGCAAATTTCTATGTCTGGTATTTCTGAATTTATTAGCAATGCAGGTTTTTTTCGCTATTGATTGTTAGTGTTGTGCACCTGGCGCAGCCATAAATCCCTGGAGATATCAGATAAATTGTCGTGCTTTTATATTAACTTGATTCAAAAATTTTAGAAGGCTTGCTCTGTCACCAAGCAAGATTAAAAATTGTTTCTTTTCCCTAGAAGCAGATCAAAGGCTTTTTGAAAGAAAGGGATTATTTCCTGAATGCTTCAAGTGCATAGCAACGTGATGTAATTCGTAACATAAATGCAATTCCTGGATGTTCCTCTTATCCAGAAGCTTGACAGGATGTGCAGCTGCTATGAATGGAGTAAGTCCTCTTATAAAGATACAGTGTTTTGACTAACCAGTGAGTAAGACTTTTTAAGGGCATGACTGATAATAAGTCTTAAAGTAAAATATTTTTACATGTTTTCAGGATAGAAGGATGACCACAAGTGCCAGATATGCTGTTCCTCTAAGAATTTCTACTTGTTTTGGGCCAAGGCTAGCAGGCACAGAGCAGCCATGAAGCATGACAAAAAATAGAATGTAGTAATTGCAGGCAGTCTGCTATCTGATCATCCAGTCATCAGCTAATGCTGAGAACTGTGTGACCCTGACAGTTCCATATCATTCAGTCTATGGACGTGCTTTGAGAGGTAGTGCCTCTGGACAATACAGTTTGAGATAGATTCTTTGGCCAGTCTCTACAAAGAAAGAATTTTCATGCAGGATCCTCCATTAATTCTACCTCTGCCATACAACCTGATTTATTTTTAAGAGTTTTTCATACAACTTTTTGTTTCATGAGCAATCTTGTGTATACTGTTTCCTCAATGAATGCTGTAGAACTTCTGGCAGCTTTGTTACTTTAGATCCATTAGAGGGATTTTTATTAGTTCTTAAGACTTCTTTTTTGGGGCAAGTTAATTCTAAAACCAGAGCTTGTGCTCTTTCTGTTTCTGTGGTTTGAACATTATTTTTGAAGGATGTTTGTTCATTTTGACAAGGCTCCATTTCCTGTTTAGCCGTACACTTTCTTGTGATTTTATCCTTCTGAAAGCATGTTAGACAAGGCTGTACCTTCAAACTTCAGGTAGGAGTTCTTTAAATGCTCCCTGCACAGTCTCAATTAAATTTCCTTTTTTCATGACTCCTCATTTGTCTGCAGCTCTGTATTAACATAGTAGTTCTGTTTATTCCTCCTATGGCCTTTACTGTAAATCTATTCATTGTTATGGATCTTGTAGAGTGACTTAATGTATATCAGAATTGGCTTGTCATGCTGTGGGTCTTTGACCACTTGAAGAACAAGGCACTTACTCTGTTGTGTCCTTGAAAGGCATTCACTCAATATGTCAGGCAGTTTGAATTTTTCAGTCTCTTACATCTGTTTTCAGTTTATGATCTCTATTAAAGTTTTATGACTGATGTCACTTCAGCTACCTTCCCTTCAAGCACAGTATTCCAATTCATAGGATTTCATTGCTGATATATTTAATATTTTTCTAAAAAGTCACATTTTATAACACAGAACTGGAGTTTGAAATACGTGGCGTTGACTCATACTCATCTTCCACCTTCATCAGGTTTGTTATGTCCTCTGATTGCCTTTCCTTCACTGCAAGGTCAGGTTTGTCCCTAGGTTTCAGTGCTTTTTATGAAGACCTGTTCTCTGCTGCATTAGGATTGGTGAATGTGCCCTTTCCTGGGAGATACTTATGAGTAACTCTTTTGCTAATGCAAGCAGACTGTCTAGTGGCAGGTGGTTGTTTTTTAGACCCTGATAAACAGAACTGCCTCAACATGAGGCAATTGAGAGAACTATTTTTGGCCTTCAGTAACAATACTCTGTACACTAACACCTAGTCCTAGTTCTGTGCTGTTAGATCTAGGCCAGTACAATACTTGGGGGTAATGTGCCAGATTTCCCAGACCACTATAGAACCAGGGTGTTGAGGAATTTCATGGCTATGCCTTCACAGTTACCTTCCTCCTTTTGGCTCAGCTCTCTGTAATCCCAGGCTCTGTTTTGCATGGCACAGCAGTGTAATCTGGACTCAAGCACATGAGAAAATCACCATGTTTTGAATATGAAAGCTCAGCTAGAGCTGGGCAAGATAAGAAAAGCAAAAGCAGAGGCAGAATTGTTGAAATGGCTGAAGTCAGCAGCTCAGTGATGTAGGAGGAAAATCACTTACCTGGAAAGGTGTGGAGCCCTGAAGAAAAAATCAAGGGTGATAACTCAACAAATCTCAGGGTGTGCCTCTGCTAGGGAACAAGGGAAGCCCACAGTCCCCCTGCCCTTCCCTGCCTGCTTCCTTTGTCTAAGAACTTGTTAGTCCCAGCCTGTCGTCTTTGTGCATAAGGCAACAAATAATTGCTTTGTACCTTGAAGGTGTATATATGGTGCTTGTCTGTATGTGGTAAACGTTGTCCAAGCCAAGTGACACAGAAAGAGGAGGATACCACCAGTGTGCCAAAAGCACCAGCATGGAAGGGCTGCCTGATGATATTTCTCTGAATGACAGATAGTTCATATTCAACATGAAAGCAAAAAAGAAAACTGTCGATTCTTTGTGACATAAAGATAATCTGTCTCTCGATTGGAAAAAAGCAAAAGCTGTTCACTTACATTAAATGTTTAAGGGAAAAAAAGGGAAAGCAAAAACACCACTTTGTCACCATTCACGTCTGTGTACATCTGAATATCAAGCTTTATGGCTTACCACTTAACCAAGGCCGTTGTGCCAGCAAGTTACCCTCTCCTCATAGTTGTCAGCACAAGATATGGAAGCACAGTATAGGAATGCTACTGATGGTCAGCAGCCACAAGGTTAAACTGATAGCAGCCATTCTGAGGTGTAATTGGTGGCTACAAGCTTGCTTTATTTATAAAGCTCCTTAACTTACTGGTGTAGTTGTGAAAAGTTTGCCACATCTATCCACAAGCCAAAGGGAAATGGGGATTGATGTTTCATGTCAGACAGAAGCTGAATCATTGCCTAAAGCAACATAAATCACAGCTCTATAATCTCTCAGTAAATTAGTTCTACCTTTTCATTGCATGAGGAAATGCCAATAGGCTTAGAGACAGGAATCTAAAATAAAGGCACTGGCACAACCATATCCTTTCTTTAACATAGGAGGAAATAAAATTCAAGAACTACTAGCAGCTGTAATTTAATCATTTTTCCTTCACTTTTATCCATAATTTAGATTGAAGAAATTTTTAAATGAGTGTGTTACCTGATGTATTCACTGCTAACACCAACAATCTTCAGAAATAATGTGGGAAACTTACGTCCCTGGGAAGACCTGGATGTGTTCTACTGTGATTGAAATCATGCTATAGTTAATACTATTGGTTTGAAATAGCTTGTTTTAGAACTTAACTTTCAGAAAATACATTAAAAATATGTATATGTATTGACTTGGAATATTTTATCCTCAAAACTAGTTAACTGTTCTTGCTGCTTGAAAACCTTCCACTATTCTGTTTGTTACCTTGCCTTGACCATTGCTGATGTGGACCCTGCCTAATCTCTCTTGCTTTGATTCTTCTCTCAGTTTGTCTCTCTACTCTGTTCCTCCTCTCTTGTTTTGTCTTCTCTGAATCCAGGTCTTTGAGCTGCTGACTACTTGGCCAGCTCTGCTGGTCCCCCCAGCCACCACCATCATAACAATCTATGGCTCCTGCAGGGTCTGTCATATCCCACCACTTTCCCAAGACAACCTAACAGCTTGCTTCCCTTTCCTCAGCCTTCACTCCTCCTTCTTCCACATCCATTCAGTCCAAGCAGGAGGATCAGTGCAAGCTCTGAAAAAACAAGCACTGTGCTGGGGCCAGCACAGCTTTGTTGTGGAGTGTCTGACTCTACTTGTACCCGTGAGCTGAGTCATGGCTCTCTCATATGCAGCTTTATAAAAGATAAGAAACTTTAATTCTGTCAAACATGCACAAACCATACAAGAAGTACTGACATTTTAGCAAATAAGATGAAAGTCTGCATGAATCGTATGCAAATTACAATTTATCAAGGCTTTCTAGCTTTCATGAGAACATCGAGAGGTCTGGCCCTGTTACAAGACTCCGTTACAGCAATGCTGTATTTGAATCATTTTCCCAAACCCTTGGAGATGAGAGTTAAAAACCAAGATCTTGTTCTTAAACTTGATCCTTAGAGAAGGCTGTGCCTTTTGATCAATGTTTCTTGCTAAAATGCAGCCGTGAGGTTAGCATTCAGGCTAGAAAACTTGAGGCCAAACACTTATAAATTGGCAAAGTTACAAATGACTGAAATCCAGCTCTGATGACAGGAAGCGTCAAGCAACGTGAATAACCGGTGTTATGAGATGCACTTGTAATCAGCTTCCTAATGTTTCTGGTATCAGTACATTACCTTTGCAGCTCTGAGGCCGTTTTTCAAGCAAAGTTATAAAAAGAATCTGTTTTCCTAGGTTATATTTATGCATTGTAATCATGGCTGTTTAGAGCATTATACGTTCACTTGGTGAAAGGACATTAAATGAGCTTCACAAATATTTAATCAAGCTGCAGAATGACTGAAGTTTACTTCTCTCTTTCTGTAGAGAGCTAATAGCCATGCCTGGTGGTTGCTGTAGTTACCACTTACTGGAAAAGCAACTAGGCTGTTCTTCCTTTTGGGTCTGAGATTTCCTTCATGAAGCTTTGTGTCAACTAAAACACTAAATACTGCTTTCTAGAGAGTAAATCTACTCCATTCAGGCCATTTCACTGACAGGTATTTTGCAAAGCTGCTTTGATTTGGTTTGGTGTTTTTTCCTAATGTTATCACAGAGTGCTGAAGTAACTCCATAAAGTTAACGTTTATTATTGTATGTAAAACTGAAATGAAAGCTTGCAGACTTTGTGTAATGGGAGATGTGTTTTTCCCTTGTATTTTGTTTAGTGAATTCTGTTAGAGCTGGTCGAAAACAAATTGGAAGAAATTTAAGTACTGCGTGTTGTTCCTGAAATAGCTTTCCTGGGTCTTTCCCAGAAATGCTGTGGGTTTTGGTTTTTGTCTGTGTTGTTTTTTTTTAGTTTTTTGTTTTGTATTGTTTTATTTCCAGCAATGACCACAGAAGGAGGGACGATTAGTTGTTTTTTAGGTTGTAAGGTATCAAGTTTCTCCCCTTGTTCAGCCTTAATTGAACATTGTTGAATATGGCTCTCTGGCTATTTGCATTAGTGTGACTGAAAACGATCTCTCTTCTCCAACAGCTGGTGGTATTTCAGCAGGGAGGCAGTGTTCCACTGAACAGCACCAGCCCTGTAACACTGAAGATGTGCCAGACTTGGGCAATAAAAGGGACCTTGTTCTGCTTCAGCTCCAGCCTTGTCCAGCATCATGCAGTGACACTTGGAGATCTTCCAAGAACTTGTGTCACAGGCTCTGCTGGAGCAGAGGACAAAGTAAGCTAACTGCTACCCAGCTTTGTGCTGTACCAAAGCTGTTCCCATGTGTGCCAGTTTAGAAAGTTACAACCGAATATAAAAACATTTAAAGCATCTCTATCCAAAGACATATATGAAATGCAAGCTGCTGGTTTTTTCCACTACGAAATTTAAATGAAGAATACAAACAGCAGATGAAATTTGGTTTAAGAGAGTACCAAGGAAGGAGGAAAAGGTAAGCAGCACCTAATAGATATGAAATGCTTGTTGAACTGTTTTAAACAGCCACTTTACTTCATTAAGCCTAGCCATATCTGTTCTCATAGATCATTCTAGAAGCTACAGACAGCAACTTCTAAACGAGTCACATGGGGCTGGAGACTCCATTCATTGAACTGTAGCCATGAGACTCCAACTGCAGGGCCATGGCACTACCTGCTGCACAAGTTCTGAAAATAATGAGATAGATAGATATGTAAAGAATATTCATGGGGTAATAGAGAAAATATGATAAAGTTAGGTATGCAACTCCTTCCACACCAGAAATAGTATAGAGCTCCTCAGCCTGGAAAAAACAACAGATGATAGAATAATCTTTAAAAAATCACAGAAAACAGTGAATAAGGAACTACTGTTCACTGTTTCTTCCAGTGCAAGTCCTGCAGATCAAATAATGTTAATAGCAAGCTCAAATGAAAGTGAGGCACTTTTTCCATGAAACAGTTTGCTACAGGAAACTGTGAATACTGAATGCTTACATCAATTTCAAAAGCCCTGCAACAAATTCATAGAGGAGAAACCTGTTAGGCACTATTAAACATAAGGAAACTGGCTGCAGGTCAGGAAGCCCTGGAGCAGTCTCAGCTGTGTAATCTGTGCCACGTCACGTGAGCTGCTCTTACATTCCTTCTTAGCCAGCCCCTATTGCAATATGCTACATCAACACAATACTGACATAGAAGAGCCTTGGAGTTGGTCAGATGTGGCCATTTCTGTTTCTGGCACAGCAGCTTTGCCTGCACAACCATAACTGTTCATGGGCCACTTGGCTACTTGTGCTGGTAACACAGCAAGAGCACATCATCACCCTGCTGTTGGGCTCCCCATATGATAGAAACTAGTTTACACATGCTTTGAGCCCACTATAGCTAAAGAGATGGAGAGACAAGCTGAATCTAACTGCTATTTATGTTTATTTACAGCAATTTGCTCAAACGTGGACTTTCACCATTAAAACGTAACAGCATAAATATGCATATAGTAAATCCCAGTCAAAAAGTAAATTAGCAAGATGCCAGCTACCTTATCTCTCCTCTTCATTTACATCGTGACTTATCGCAGTTGACATTTCAGTAAGCCTGTAGTAGCTGCTCTGAATTTGAACATTCATAAGAAGAAGATGCAATACACTGGCTTTGATGTCAGTAGAATGTCAGTCTCTGCCTACTTTGTTCAGTCTGAACTTAATTGCAGGAACTGCATTAATAGTCAACATAAGCCATCTGTTTAAACATGTGTGTTTTGGAAAGAAGTGCCGTGTACAATAAACACACTCACTGTAATGACTCATATATCTGTTTATGTGAAACGAGGATTTGGCAATTTCCCTCACAAAAACATTAAATTACAGGCTAAAAGCAGTTTTATATCAATTTCATTTGTTTACGTGGCAGGTCTGATGGTTTGACAGTTTTGATGCAGTCTGAGAAGTATGTGAGCCATGAGGCTGCCGAACCTCACTGTTTTACCAGCCTTCACTCAAGAACCTGTTTGATAAGTCAGAGCTGCCCCGAGAAATGTCAGCAGTTCATGGAGTTCAGTGGCTGAGAGACACACAGAGGTACATTCACAAAATGTTCTTCAATGCCTTTGGCCAGGGTGCACAGGGAGGAAGGGCACTGCTGTCCAGGTCCGATAGAGTGGTTAACAGCAGAACATCCCAAGTAAGCATGGTGTGACTGGCAGCCTCGCTAGGCAGTGCATGTAACCACTGCAGACCCATGAATGACCTACTTTCATAAGCATTACACTGAAGTTCAATCAGTGATTTTGCACGAGGTGAAGCTGTTCCCCTCTCCTTTGCAAACTGAAGCTTCTTCAAACAGGAAAAATCAGAAATATGCCACCTCTCATTTTATCTATCAGACTACCACAGGAAAGCAGGTTTTAATTTCCCTTTTCTTCCTTGTAAATGCATATAAGGTGTTACTTTTAAGAGTGAAACAAGATGCCATTAGATATCTTTTCTGGTGCCATTTCTAAGTAAGCTTTGTTAAATTAATCATGATAATTCACTGGTGCCTCAGTCTCTTCAGCAGCAGAATAAATCATGAATTATCTAGTTTTATACACACTGATGGAGAGTCTGGCTGCCTGCTTCCCACTCGCATGTCCAGAGTAGACTTCTGTTACATTTATCACTTGCAGACAAACAAAACATATATGGGTGACAGCTTAGAGCAGAGGCTCAGAAACTGCTGGAGAGGAAACATATAGTAAAAGCAAATGGTAAATTAGCAACTATTACCTTTTCTCCCCTGAGAAGTTAGTCTGACATTAGTATAGCCCTGCTTTTTTTCTTTTTTTTTCTGGAATGATTTTAAATTCATGAGAGATACAAGAAGCCCTCATTTTGTTTCCTTAATCTTGCTGTTGCCCAGCCTGCTTGGTCCAACGGGCTGTAGTGTTGCATTAGATGAGGTCAGTGATGTTTTAAGATGTACTCTAATATCAGCAGTTTCCTCTTTTGTTTTTCCTAGTTTATATATCTGAGGGAATTCTACACAGTAGATAATGTTTATATTTCTGTGACTTTGAAGTGGACATGGTCTCAAGAAACCTGCAGGACTTAGTTTTAAGTAAGATTTTCTTATATCTCCTGTTTTGTGGTTTACAGAATGTTTGGTAGCAGAGGCCTGTATGCATTTAAGTGTATTTATGTAGCTAGCAGAAATATCCCACCCTAACCTATGTATGAAACCATTGTCCCCTTTGACTGCTTATTGGCTCCTAACAGTGTTTTATTCAAATTCTGTACCCCACCTTATCCTTTCAACAGACAGTCCTCCCATCACACATACTGAATATTTACACCCATCAGAAGTTCCTAGCATGGAGAAACATGCATCCAACCTGCCCCGTATCAGCACTTCAGACGCACTAAGCTCTTAGAGCATCTTGGTGACACATTTATTTGTATTAACAAATTCAGCTCATCACTAGAAACATCTGTGTTCACAGCTTTAAAGATTTTGTATCTGCGAAACACGATCAATCCAAATAGCTTGAGATTTTTGTTGGACAAACAAACATCAACAATCACAAATATACCAAAGAAATGGTGATTTTTTCAGCAGTCATGAAACCTATTCTCAAATTCCTTTATCAGAATGGAAAGCATGGCTGCATATTTGTCATTGTTCAGAGGACTGTATTTAGCCAATGTAACAAAATGCATAAAATTATTTGCCACAGCTTGATTTAGCACTGCACAGAGCCCTCTGCTCATGCTGGTTTCAGCCCTGACTGCTGTCTTGGTGCTGAGCAATGGGTGCATACCAAGGGTCAGGCCAAGCCACTTGGCAGGGAACAGCCACCAAAATGGCACAGGGCAGGGAACGCAGGATGCACTGTGCAGGGATGCATGTGGCCCATGGCCCAGAGGTCCAGGACATGTCCAGGTCATCTCCTGAGGTCCCTAACAGCATCAACTATCCTGTGATTATGAAGTTGACAGAAAGTCATGGACCAATGTCCTAACAAGGGCTGATTTTCATTAGAAATAAGAGTTCAAACTGCTACTAAGTTCTTATCAAGAAAAAGTGAACTATGAGTAGTATCCAGTCTTGAAACAGTATTTATTTACAACAAAGAACAATGAGTGGAAATACAAATAAGTGAAGCAGATTAGCTCCGTGTTGATAATCCTAGCTCCACATCTTGTTTTTAAACTTTATCAGTTTCTCCTCTAGTAACTTCTCTCAGATTGTGCTGGATTTTGACCTTTAAAAGGTCCCACAAATCAAGTATCTCTTTTTTTTTCTGTTTACATTCGTGCAGTTCCCAAGTTTTCTGCCATCTGGCTGTTCTGTGTTAACGTCCTGTCTTCTGGACGCAGGTGGTAACCTGCTAGCATGCCAGATCATTCACTACCATCTGGGGCATGCTATTGCCCAGTAACTTCCATCCAGGCCCATTCCTAAGGCAACCTTAGCTCATTCATTCCTACAGGTATTTTTAAAGCTGATGGTTAAATGAAACCATATGCATTTTCAGAACAATACAGAAGTGTGCTTCACATAATCCACATTTGGCATGCATTTACTGAATGTGCCCATTCCTTTCCACTAAAAATGTTCAGGATAAATCTTAGAAGTCTCACTACTGAAGTTTTACACAGATTTGGATCATGTCTAGTGCTTCCAGTGGGAATAGCTCTGTTTTACCAGTATTTTCATATTAATGGTTTTGTTTTAGATTTCTCTTACAAAGCTGGAGAATAGTATGGGGAATATTCTGAATGGAAATCAGAAGTTTTGTCTTCATGAGAAAGATGTAAAATGATTTCTCAGCTGCATTGCATCCTCTGTCAGGGCATGGGAATAATCACCCTCTCTGAGAAAATGTTTCTGCAGACAGTTGCAGCTACTTAGATATTCTTTACATAACCCCACAAGACAACACCTCCACCTGCCATCACAAATGGACTACACGTGGCATGATTCTTCCCCCTGGCTGTGCCAAGTACTTTGTTGTCTTGTTGCTAACATGGTTAGCTATTGCTTCACAGCTCTTTTCCTGGAAGAAGAAACTGGTTACAACTGGGAGAGAGAAGACAAAGAGGTGTTTATGTAGGAATCAGAGAATCTCAGAATGGTTTGGGTTGGAAGGGACTTACAGTCCATCCAGCCTCAGCCATGGGCAGAGTTCTCACCCACCAGATCAGGCTGCCCATGGCCCCATCCAGCCTGGCCATGATTGCCTCCAGGTTATTTGGAAGCACAATTTACACACTGGTGTGTATATATCCTTTTCCCAATGATTCCACTGCGTGTAGTTTCTCATAACTTAATAATATAGCTAACAATGCAGTTAATAATACAGTTTTGTAATATAATATAGTTAATAATGCAGCTTCCTAACAGTGGTTTTAGCTTTAGCCAAACCAGCCTGTACTATTGAAGAAGTTTAATTTCAAAAGGTCAGTTACACCCTTCATATGAGTTCAGGAAAGCACACTGTTTAGCAGATAACCTTTACACAAAGCAAAAGCAGATACTGGACAAACAGTATATCTCAGAGCCCTGTAAGTGCACCTTGCAACTATGGGTTATATTTAGCTCTAACCTTGTTTTGAGAACAAGGTCAATCAGATCTCATGTTTGGGAAATTCAGGACACAGTTCTTGCAGGTGGCACCATCTGAGCCCCTCTGAAATGGACACTCACTGCTAGAGGTCACATTCACTTCCGCCAGCCCTATGCCCTGAGAACAGACAGGGGCATGAGTCCCAGGCGTAACTCACTTATGGCATGTAATGAGGCAGTCTTGCACTGCTCAACTATTCATGCAAATGAAGCTCTCCTTATGCTCAGCAAAGAGCAAGAGATCATTATACAGTGAGCTGGTATTACCAGCTGTAGGTTTGTGGCTACAGCCTATGGAGCAGACAGAATATGTCACCATTCTCGTTGCTGATTTGTGTTGCCTGTATGCTCCTACGTTGATTTGAGACTGCAGAGCTGAATTACTGGCTTGAAGAAGCTTCAACATATGAGGCAAAATAATTAGGGGTGTGAGAGTCATTGTTGATCAGAGGCACTATTTCATCATCAGTGACACTGCTCTTACCAACACTCAGGATGAGCCATTTGCCTAGGTGATATTCCTATATAGGTTTCAACTCTAAGTCAGCATCAGCTTCAGCACAGCTTACCAATCCCTAGAGGCCAGGCAGATGTTCTTGTGAAGCCTGTTTTTAATGTCTAGGCTTTGCCGCTCTGTTTTAAGTGTGTCAGAACAGTGCTGGGGTCCCCGCTGTAGCTCTAGCATCCAGCACACAAAAGCCAGCTGTGCCCAACTGATCCCCAAAATCTGATGGTTGGATCCCAGCAAGAAGAAAATCTGGCAAATACAGTTCTGCTATAGGCACTGGACTAAAGCTAACGTGCACTCAACCAGAGTTTCATTTACAATCACAGTTACATAGATCAAATAATCTGCTGAAGTCAGAGAAACATCAGACAAACTTAGGCTGGCTCTGTCATTTCAAGACAGCAGTTATTTTTATTTTTACTGAAATGATAAATTCAAGTTAATTGCTCACTGGGAGTGGCTACTGGTTAGGACAGGAAGGTTCTGTGCACACAATGAACAGAGCAAGGATTGAAGTTAAACGGTTAGGTGTGAAAACTTAATAAACTGTGTTTTGGTAAGGGGAAGATAGAAATAATCATGGGAATTTGAGCAGTGCCACTCAGCTACTCTAGCTCATCCTTGAGATGTGAGAAAGCAAGCATCTTTAGTATGAGGCTCTTATTCAAGTGCTCTTCTCAGTGTGTTTCTTGCCTATTATGTGAAGGCAAAAGGGAACTCTTCAGGCAACTGAGGAACATCATGAGACAAAGCCACACAGCCACGTAAAACCAACAGCAATGAGGAATATGCAAGCACTGGAGAACTATACTTGTGTGACCTCCTGGACGTCACAGCAGCAGTTTAAACACACAGGCTGTGACCTGTTTCCCTGTACATGGCTCCCCAACTAAGCAATCTAATGAAGACCCAGAACTTTGGCTGGTTATCTTACTTTAGAAAACAAAAAGGCACTCGATTTCTTTTGTTATCAACCCTGTCACTCACCTTATGGTCTTCCACATGCCTCCTGAGTTTGCTCTGAAAGGGGTGAGAAATGCAAGTAGAAAAGTCATTAAGCTTCAACAGGAAGGAAGTGAACTAGAAAATCTTGTTCAGTGTTTTTCTGTCTAGTACATGCGATGCTTGGCAAGGTCAGGTTCTCACTGTACCACTCAGGACAGATAATTTTGCAACATTACAACATTTATGAATAGAAATAGAAAAGGAATAACAGAGGGAATTAAAAAAAAAATGGAAATCCAAAGACATAGCTGTCTGGTGACCTGTGATGGTATCAAGGCAAAAAGAGGATGTCATTTCTTATAATCTGTTGTCTTACATGGTCTTATCATCAGCTGTTTGTTGGATCCTCTTCTCATCTTTGGTACTGTGCTCAATTATCCATTGTTAAACACCACAGTGGTTTAGCAGTAGCCATTTCTATTCCTCACAGGAGCAAAGACCCGCTGGAAGCTCTTTTCCTTGTAAACCCCTTAAATACAAAGAAACTGGCGGCATAAAGCATGACTCCCTTAAGTGATGCAAGCACAGAGGAAGTAGCTCTTCTTCCCTTCTCCACTGTCTGTGTGATGCTGTGCACAGTCCAGGCTGAGAGCTAGTTTCAGGCATCTGAAGTCTACCAATTCCTGCCACCTGCGTTTTCTATCAGTCAGTTTTCTGCACAGAAGGTTAGTTCACGGACACTCTGGAACGTTCAACTTCCTTTTACCTTCACTAGGAGGAAAGATAATCCAGAAGGATTTTAAAAGAATGAAAGAAAGATTGGTTTTCTTCTAACACGCTATTAATAATGTTAATATTTCTAGAGTGCATTTTAGTGGCAGTCCTCAGCATTATGTCTGTATTGAATACCATCTTATTTAAAAATGCATGTGAATTTTACGTGGCTCTGTGCGTGTGTGTTCGGAATACGTGGTAATGGAAGATAGATAGCATTTAATTATGCCATTTGTTTCATCACCGTAAGGCTACTGTTTGTTTTAACCAAACATCCTGCTACAAAAAGCCATCAATAGATGTGACTCATTACCTTTCCTACCTTGACCAAATATCATGCCCAACAATTCAGCCCCCTGTGCAAGCTGAAGACCTCTAATCTAGATGCAGGACAGGCAGGAGACTGAAGCAGGCAGTAGTTACTGGAGAGCACAAGGATGGCCCAGTGAACACGTGGCCTGTGGCACTCCTAGGGATTTCTCCAGGACAGCTTTCCTGACCTGGGGCAAATACCCTGGTGTCCCAAATGCAGGTTTTCCACAAATTTATACATTTGTCTACCTTTTTGTCCCCCTGCTTTCTGAGTTACGTTATATCAAATCCAAAGAAATTTTCCCACAACGCTTTCAGTTTTCCCCTGCATCCTCTACAGTGGCCATCCTCTTTCAAGAGCTCCTTCCCAGGATGGGCTCAGAGACAGCAGAGGTGCCATTTTCAGCACTGCCTTTTCAGAGCTGGTCTGAAAAAACAGGAGCAGCATGGAACAAGTGGTGCCATAGATAGAATGTGATACTGCAGTAACTGTGTCTCCTAATCCCTGATCTGCACATCTGTGCACTCAGGCTTTTGAGGTCATAGGTATTTCCTTCCCATGGTGCTATTGCTGATATTTACATGAAAAGTAGCACAGTTACAGGAACTGCATTTTACACTGCATAGTGCTATCTGCACAGGTTTGTTTCTGATCTAATAATCAGGACAATGGCATCAAAATAGGGAAGTACTTGCTTTTTGCAGTAATGTTTGTCCACAACCATCTGAAGAGGCATGACTGAAATAACTCTGTTTCAGAAGGCCAGCACAATGAGTACATCCAGTGCAGCAGAAACAGACAATATTTGCATAGCAAAACAAGAGCATGGGATCTCAGCAGTAAGAACTTATTTTCTCAAATATTTGTCACTGTTTTTAAAGCATGCTGTTACCAGGTGATTCTTTGGCCAGTGAGCACCACTGAGCACCTCTGATCACACTGCTCCAAACTGGAGTTCTGTCTGAGAGAGCAATGTAGCGTACCACTTTTTCATATATGGCATTTTAAAAGTTAGAAGACTTCTGATCAGGACTTGCTTAACTCTGAGGAGCTGTTTTTGAGTGCTAGCAGGTGGATTTTCTTCTTGCTGTTGACTCACACTAGCACTGAAGCATCACGACTTTTTTCAGGTTGACGTATCCGGTTGCATTCTTGTTTGCTCATGCAGGTGTTTTACGTACAGCCCCAGGACAACTGACGCTACTGGAAAGCAGCTGCAGCATAGGCAGCATTGTAGGAATTCACCACTTCAGTCTAGTTCAGCTCTGAGCTCACAAGAAAATAAGCCCAAGTCATCCCTTAGCAGGCAAGCCTATCATCAAACTTCTGTAAGATAACTTGCTCAGGAATAAGTTGTTTTATAAAGAACATTAGAAACAGCTCAATGCTCTTTCTCTTTCAGCTGACCAGAGGTGAAGGTTTTCCTCTCCAAACACCTGACCACATGAGCCTAGCTGGAAACTTATTTCCCTATTACAGGAATGAAGGACTTTCTCCAAGTACTTCATTCCATCCCTGCGTGATGAAAGATAAAAGTTTACAACCACCTGCCATCTGTTTCTGATGCTAGAAAATACATTATGCCCTTTGGCATGGTGAAGAGAACATGCAGGAAAGATCCCGTAATTGTGTACGAATGGCTGATGGGGAGCAATAAAAGGGACACTGCTCTCAGCAGCATTCGTGCAGTGGAGCCTCCAGAGCAGCTTCCCACCTCAGCTGTTCCACCTTTTTGTCCCCACGGTACAGCAGTGGCACAGCATGGGGACATGCACTGTGGTGTGAGTGAAGCGAACCTCTGACACCACAAATGTTGTCTTCTGTATTTCATCAGCCTGCTTCTCCATGTGGGTATACCTGTGAAGGAACTTCAGGTTCCAAGGACTAAAAATGTCATCTGCCTGAGGAAGAAGCACTTGATTTCCTCTGGGGAATTCAATACAAGAAGAGAAAAGCAGGAAGAAACGGCTCATTTGTAAGCCAGTCTGGCATACAGTGAGTGTTTAAAAAGGCTTCGTTTCTTTTGCAGCAGTACTGATTCTTCCTTGGAGTTCTGCTTCTTAATTTCACTTCTCCCCACTGGCTTTGTGTGTTCTCCAGTAGCCAGTTTGCCCAGACTCAAGGATTCAGGTGTCAGTGTATCACCTCCTGCTGTGCAAATACATATCAGAACATTTAATTCTCTGCTTTAGCACCGAGGGATTACTATTACATTTGATTTTAATCATCTTCTGGAATATACCCAGCCCTTTCACTGTGCAAGTTATGCTTTGTACAGAGATTGTTTTAAGAAGTTTTCACGTGAGATGGACCAAGGACTAGCACTGAGCACTCACCATCACACTCAACATCTCTTGGGCTTTTTCTGCTATTCCAAGGAAGAAAATCCTTCCTGGGTTAGTTAAGCCCGAAAGAGAATTAAATACTTTGGTGGCCAGGCAGTACCACAGCCTCCCATGAACAGGCCCATGGATTGCACACAGCTGTACTCTTGCCAGAATGGAGCAGGGGGAGGATCTGCTAGAAATCTATTTGAAGGAGCTTTTAAGCTGTAGATTTGGCATAAGCAAAGCCCTGTTTTTACAGCCTCATAATGAACTCTGAAAAAAACCTTCTCCTATGGCCCCGTGCCTATCTACCTGTAATTTAATCAAGGGGGGGCAGCAGCAGTCCTGGACTTTCAAGACAATTTCTGCCTCCTCGCACTTGCGCAGCCCACCTCAGCAGAGAAAAAAAATGGGAAAAAAAGGGAAGGAGGAAGTGCCTCAAGAATGCAGCTTTAAAGTTCTTATGACATTAAAGCCAGCACCTCAGCCACTGGATGTTTGCTGATACAGTACAGAAAAAGGTGATCCTTATTTTATCCTAATGCCTTGAAGAAGGTACACGGCAAGTTCATAGCTGAAGCAGGGATTCCCTGCAGAGATTCCAAGCCATCTTTTGTCTGTCCAGCATTGATCTGCCTGCCTTAGTTTATGAAGGGATGCAGAAGCTCAGTTGCTGAGAGCTAGAATCACAGAATCACAGAATCACAGAATCACCCGGGTTGGAAGGGACCTCAAGGATCATGTAGTTCCAACCCCCCTGCCTAGCAGGGCCACCAAACACACACATTCAGATCAGGTTGCCCAGGACCCTGTCCAACCTGGCCTTAAACACATCCAAGGACGGGGCATCCACAACCTCCCTGGGCAGCCCGTTCCAGGGCCTAACCACTCTCCTTGTATAGAACTTCCCCCTAACATCCAACCTAAATCTTCCCTCCTTCAACTTGGATCCATTTCCCCTAGTCCTGCTGTTGTCAGCCCTTTTGAAGAGTTTACTCCCCTCCTGGGTGTAGGTTCCCTTCAGGTATTGATAGGCTGCAATGAGGTCACCCCGCAGCCTTCTCTTCTCCAGGCTGAACAAGCCCAACTCCCTCAGCCTGTCCTCATAGGGGAGGTGCTCCAGCCCCCTGATCATCTTAGTCGCCCTCCTCTGGACCCTTTCCAAAATCTCAATGTCTTTCTTGTACTGAGGGCTCCACACCTGGACACAGTACTCCAGATGGGGCCTCACAAGAGCCGAGTAGAGAGGGATGATCACCTCCCTGTCCCTGCTGACCACCCCTCTCCTGATGGAGCCCAGGATCCCATTTGCCTTTCGAGCTGCCAGAGCGCACTGCTGGCTCATGTTCAGTCTCTCGTCCATCAGGACCCCCAGGTCCTTCTCTGCCGAGCTGCTCTCAAGGACCGCTCCTCCCAGCCTGTACGGGTGCCTGGGGTTCTTCCGGCCCAAATGCAAAACCTTGCACTTTGCCGTGTTGAACCTCATTAGGTTCACCCGAGCCCAGCCCTCCAGCCTGTCGAGGTCCCTCTGAATGGCATCCCTTCCTTCCACCGTATCAACCGCACCACTCAGCTTGGTGTCGTCAGCAAACTTGCTGAGGGTGCACTCAATTCCCTCATCGATGTCATTAATAAAGATGTTAAAGAGCACCGGTCCCAAGACAGACCCTTGGGGGACACCACTTGTTACCGGCCTCCACCTGGACATAGAGCCATTGACCACCACCCTCTGTCTGCGGCCTTTCAACCAGTTTCTTACCCATCGGGTCGTCCACCCATCAAATCCACTTCCCTCCAATTTGGAGATGAGGATGTGGTGGGGGACCATGTCAAAGGCCTTGCTCAGGTCCAGGTAAATGACATCAGTCGCCTTCCCTTCGTCCACCAATGCCGTCACTCCATCATAGAAGGCCACAAGATTAGTTAGGCATGACCTTCCTTTGGTGAAGCCGTGCTGGCTGTCTCGGATCACATGCTCATTCTTTATGTGATCGAGCATGTTGTCCAGGAGGATCCGTTCCATGATCTTCCCAGGCACGGAGGTGAGACTCACCGGCCTGTAGTTCCCCGGGTCCTCCCTGCTCCCCTTCTTGTATATGGGAGTGACGTGACCCTTCCTCCAGTCATCCGGGACCTCACCTGACAGCCACGACTTCTCAAATATGATGGAGAGCGGCTCGGCAACCACCTCAGCCAGCTCCTTCAGGACCCTGGGATGCAAGCCATCCGGCCCCATAGACTTGAATTCATTCAGTCTAAGGAGGCACTCTCGGACTTGCTCTGTCCTTACAGTGGGGAGGGATTTACCTCCTTGGTCCCCACATAGAGGTTTGGGGATGCAGGGTTCAGGGACGTGAAAAAGACTAGAATCCTGGCCACCAGTGAAGACCGAGGTGAAGAACTCATTCAGCACCTCAGCTTTCTCTTCATCTGTTGAAGCCAGTTCTCCTTTTAAATTTACCAAAGTAGGTACGCCCGTTTTGGCCTGTCTCTTCTGGCCAATGTACCTGTAGAAGGTTTTCTTATTGTTTTTCACGTCCCTTGCCAAGTTCAGTTCTGCCTGCGCCTTGGCTTCCCTGATCCCACGTCTGCAAGTCCGGACGGCATTCCTGTATTCTTCCCAGGTGACACAGCCTTGTTTCCAGAGCTTGTACACCCCTTTCTTCGCCCTCAGTTCTCTCAGCAGGTCCTTGCTGAGCCATGCCGGTTTCCTACCTCGCCTGCCCACTTTCTTATTCAGAGGAATGGAGACCTCTTGTGCTTCCAGGAGGGCATCTTTGAAGAGCCGCCAGCTCTCCTCAACATCCTTGTCTTTGAGGGCAGCGCGCCAGGGGATCTTGGCCAGCAATCCATTGAGTAGTTTGAAGTTTGCTTTTCTAAAGTTTAGTGTCCTGATCCTGCTCTTTGCCAGGCCCACATCGCTTGAGATCACAAACTCAACCAGGGCGTGGTCGCTGGAGCCCAGGCAGCCTCCAACCTTGACGCCTTTGATGATCTCCTCAGCGTTGGTAAGCAGAAGGTCCAGCAACGCTTCACCTCTGGTCGGTCTGTCCAATACCTGAACCAGAAAGCTGTCGTCAATGGATTCCAAGAGCCTTCTGGAGCTCTTGCAGCTCGCCGTGTGGTTTTTCCAGCAGATGTCCGGATGGTTGAAGTCCCCCACCAGGACAAGAGCCCGTGAGCCAGACATCTCACGCATCTGGAGCAAGAAAGCCTCGTCAACAGCCTCCCCTTGATCAGGTGGTCTGTAGTATACCCCTAACACCAGCTGACCTATATTAGTCCCATCTCTAATCCTAACCCACAGGCTCTCAACCTGTTCCTGACTGTTTCTCGTAGGGAGCTCCTCACAGTTTATCCAATCCCTGACATAGAGAGCAACTCCCCCACCCCTCCTACCTCGCCTATCTCTCCTAAAGAGTCTATAGCCGTCGATGGCAGTATCCCAATTGTGGGAGTCATCCCACCATGTTTCTGTGATAGCGACAAGGTCATAACTTTCCGAGTGCATCACAGTTTCCAGTTCCTCCTGCTTGTTACTCAGGCTGCGTGCATTGGTATAAAGGCACTTCAGCCGGGCTATCCGTCTCGCCACCTTTATATGGGATCTAGGATCCCCTAGAACAGCAGCATCCCCAGCATCCCCCTGCCCTACTCCTTCCCTATGCACTCTGCCGTCATTGCCCATAGAGTTCGGTACAAGCCCTCTAATGACCCGTTCAACCCCAGTAGCCCTTATTTTGTCCCCTTCCCCCTTCATTCCTAGTTTAAAGACCTGTCAATGAGTCCCGCTAATTCTTCAGCTAAGATCCTCTTACCCCTCAGGGACAGGCTGCATGCATCAGCAGCCATCATGCCAGGTGCAGTGTAAATTGCCCCATGCTCAAAAAAGCCGAAATTCTTGCGCCTGCACCAGCTCTTAAGCCATCTATTGAAGAGTTGGGTATTTTGGATCCTCCCTGTACCTTTCCTTGACACCACGGGCATAGAAGAAAAGACCACTTGCACCCCAGCTCCTTCAAGTATACGCCCCATTCCCCTGAAGTCTTTCTTGATAGACCTCAGGCTTTCCTTTTCAACTTCCTCGCCGCCAGCCTGAATTATTAAAAGTGGGTAATAATCTGAAGGCCGAATCAACCCAGGAATTTTCTTTGAAATGTCCCTGACCCGTGCCCCAGGAAGGCAGCACACCTCTCTGCGGGTAGGGTCGGGCCGGCATATAGGGCCTTCTGTTCCTTGCAGAAGGGAGTCGCCTACGACAATCACCCTCCTGTCCTTACGGGTAGAAGCAGTCTTGAGGGTCGGGGGCGACCGCTTCGCCTGAGGCAACCTCACGGGTGAACCTGTCTCCGCACTCTCACTCGTCCCCCCCTCGACTTCCAGGGCCTCAAACCTGTTACGCAGAGGCACCTGGGGAGCCGGGGATGGTCGGGATGGGGGATGCTCCCTCCGCCGAGCAGGTACCCGTTTCCACTCCTCCTCCCTTCTCAAATTGCTGTTAGGGGGAATAGAGGACAGGGGGCTTGCTGAAACGCTGTCAGCTGGCTGGTTCCCCTTTGCCAGGTGTTTGTAAGGTGGCAGGGGCTGATGTGCTCCGTGAGGAGCCTCGTCTGTGTGCCGAGAACCTGAGGTTGAGAGGGACTGACACCACCAGTCAATCTCCCTCTCACACTCTTTTATAGTCCTCAGCCTCTCCACTTCCTCCTTCAGGCTAATCACAAGGCTGAGCAAGTCATTCAATTGCTCACACCTTGTACAAGTGCTGCCTCCTTCATGTGACATTGCAAAGGCCAGGCTGTGGCACTCCTCACAGCCAGTGACCTGCACACTAGCATCTCGTGATGGTAACTCTGTCTGAGTCGCCACACACTTCATACCGTTGTTCTCCCCTCTATGCATGCACCAGACCTCAGTCTGGCTCTGGACCGTCTTCTTGGCTACTGCCTTCCTGCTGCGTGTGCTCGGGACCTCTGCATGGGTCTTCACAGTTTTTGTGTTTGAAGCCTTCTGCCGGGGTGCACCCATGGCAACCAGCAGGCTCACTAACTCAACAAGAAAGTCCTAAAGGGGTGCAAGTAATCAGCCCTGCCCTGCTGCCCCCTACCCTCACACTATTGCCGGGTTCGCTAAGTGCCCTGGCACTTACCACCAATAGCAATAACAAGACTCCTTGCAGGGGAGTGCAGACAGGGGTACCTTACAAAAGCACCACGTTAAGACAGCCTAGGAGATAGCTGTACTACCTCCTCTGCTGTGCCTCTCGAGGGCCTTTTGTAGCAGCTAGAGCTCCAGGGTACATTCCTGATCAAAACACAATTACCTGGCAGCTTCACCCAGGCAGCTGTGAAATCAACCATGGAAGGGAAGGGTGAATGAAGATGCTAACTGCGCTAACAGCAGTCAGCCTCTCCATAGTGACGCAAAGCAGGAGTCACCTGCATAATGTGACAGCACGGGTCTGTGTGAGAGAGAGCTGAGCCTGCACACCGCAGCACGTAGCTGCTGCTCAGCAGAAGCTGATTGCGTTATTCTCAAAACAAGGAAAACTGTTAACGCCTGCTTTAGAAATCCAAATCCTCCCCCCACGCTCTGGAAGGGGGAATTACCAAATGAACCATCTCTCTCACTCCCCAAACATAAGGCACATTAAAATGTTCCTTTCTGTAAATATGGGTGCTGTTAAAACGGTCTATTTAACTGATGCATTACCTGGGTGCTGCCAGAGTTTAGTGCCTGCTGCATGCACATGCTGAGTACGTGCTTTAGGGATTCAGAGGAGATGAAAAACAACCCTTTTTCCTCCTCAGAACCATAAGCAAAACAGGTTTAACTTGGTAACTGCTTAACACTTGATCCTAACGGCAAACCAGCCCTTCTCCTTTCTTCTTCACCTTCACAGGCAGCTCTGCTCCACAGCCACCACGGAATTTAGCAACAAATGCCTTACAGAGCTCAAAGCTTTAAGGCACACTGGCATGAAAACAACACCAAATGACACAGTGTTTTCAAGTATTCTCTAAGAAAAAGAAACCAAAACTTTATTTAGTAGAAAACTTTCAGAATACAAAATGGGTCTGTTTGTAGTATTACAAGGACAACATACTCATTAAAGACAATTCCTGTTCTCCTAAGGTGTAGTCCCGTTTCATGCTGCACCCTTTATTTGTTGCTTTCATCCTCACAGAGTGGCTGAGCAATTCTTCTTCTGCAATGCCATCAAAAAAGAAGTCCTCATTGAAGATGGGATTCCTGCTTCTCTTTATAACAGTGCTTCTCTGTTTCTGTGTTTTCCCTGGCACCAGGGAGAGGGTAATGCAGCAGTTTATGTTTTTGGGCTCTACAGAGTCATCATATAAACCCTCTGCACTGATCAGACGGATCCTCAGCCTTTCATTTTCTGAGCAGTATTCAGCTGACAGTCTCAACATGCCCCCCTTGTCCATGACTACGGTGCTTTCTCCCACCAGTCTCTGCCGGCCTCGGGCAAAGTCCAGGGGAAAGAGGGGAGAACAAGACACACTGCAGCTCCGTGCGGCGAGCAGCCCCTCCGAGGCCCGCCTGATGGCACTGGGGCTGTTATCAGTGGAGCTGCTCTCTTCTGTAGACAGAGAATTATTCCTGGACATGCCAGATTTGTTCTTGGCCTTCAGGGCTCGGCAGAGCAATCCTTCCTGACTTCGTGCCTTGATCAAGGAGCAGGATCTGGGAGGCGATCTGCTGAGAAGCGGGGAGCTGAAAGGAGAGGAGTCGCTGGAGGAGGCAGTGTCGCTGTCGCAAGCACCCTGCCTGTGCAGGTGCCTGGGAGGCAGCCTTACCGAAGTGAAGCTGATAGCAATGGGATTGGACGTGTTCCCTTTGCCACCGAATGTGTTAGCTCTGGATCGAGGCCGTGTCAGGCTGGGCAGAGCCCCGCACGTGTCACCGTGGAAGATCGATTCCTTTCTCCTGGTGTGGGGACTCTCCAGCAAGGTGCAGAAGCCGTAGGAAGTGGGAGCTCTGGGGAAGTGAGGCAGGGAGAGCGCAGCTTGGGACTGCGGGTCTGAGTTGGTGCCTTCTTCCTCCAGCGCTGGGAACTCTTCAGCACTTTCCACCTGGATGAAGTGGGGCAAAGAATAACCGGAGCTGTGGTCAGAGGAACTGAGACGTGCATCCTCTGAGCCGTGGTGCTGGCGGGAGCCGGGACCCTGAGCAGGAGCAGCGGTGCTCAGCCGGGGGGGGATGCAGAACTCCGGGATTCTGTCCGGGGTGAGCACGTTGGGGAAAGCAGCAGCCCCCAGGCGGGCTTTTTCCAGCAGATGTTGGCCGGGTGGCAGGCCCAGGAAGGAGGCACACGGGAGGTTCCTGCTGCCCTGCGGCGGTCTGATCTTGTCCAAGAACCACATCGCTGCACCCAGACGGGAGGTCCGCAAAGGAGAAGAGCCGAGAAGGCAAATCTACCTGTAGACACAGAAATGCAAAACTACATTAACGTGTTTCCCAGGCATTCTGCAACAAGGCAAAGCACTGAGGATGCCGAGAACAGCGGGACGGGTACAAATGCAGTCCGCACGTCCAAACGAGCAGCCTCTGCTCGGCACGCCGCCGTCAGTAAAGTCTCATGGATTTTGCCGCAAGGACAAAATGAAGCCACCAGAAGAGAGGCTCAACGACATCGAGTCGCTACCCTCCCCGAGCGACCCCTCCGTGCTCCCCCGGAGCCGAGCCGAGCCCAAGCCCTACCTGCCGGCTCCCAGCGGCGCTCCACTCCGGTGTCTCCGCGGCTGTCGGTCCTTTTCTAGCGGCGCCGGGCGCCTCCCACAGAAAGGGAGGGACGGAGGCAGCGGGGGGGCTGCGGGGCCCGAACGTCCCCTGTGCCAGCGCGCTCTTAACCGGGCATGGAATGGTCATAGAACGAGCACGTGGCGAAAAAGCTCGATTTGCGCCTGGCGCCCTCGCAGAGCAGCGCCCGGCTGGGGAGGGCTAACCCTGAGCCACAGCCGCCCCTGCGGGAGGAAGCCCCTCGTCCTCCCCGTTCCCAGCTGCTTTTCATTCGCGGACGCTTTCGAGATTATCTATCAAACGCAGTACAAAGGCAGAATTGTCTCGGTGCTTCCTTTCTTCTTGAGAGCCTGGCTGTTTTCCAAACCAAGAGCAGTAGGAAGCGTGGAGAGCGATTTTCCCACCTCATTTGAAAAAGACGTGTCTGCTTTTCCGCATCGGGCTGCGTGTCCCCTCGCCGTGCTATCCACAGAGCGTGAGACAAATAAGCCCCGAGGCAGCACCTGTCAGTAACACAGAGCAACGGTGCAACCAGAATGTGGACGAAATAAGTAGAAAGGGGGCAAAGAAACGCTTTTGCAAGTCACCTTGACAAGGAGCACCTTAAAAATGCAGGCATGCATGTCCCTTATGGGACGTCGCACAGAGCACGGTGGGATCCGTGAGCTTTCCCAGCACAGCTCTGCAATGCAGCAGAACACAAATGGAGCTCTGCACACTTTATGATCGTGCTAAAGGCTGCTAAGAGAAACCTTCACTGCACACCTGTGAAAGGTTAGCTGAAGCTCAGCTGAAGCTGAATGCCTGTAACACAGTGCCAGGAACAATTTTGTCTTTCCTTTCCTCCCTGAAGAGCTAAAGTTCATGTTTACTTGGCTTGAAATAGACTGGATGTGCTCAGAGGAAACAGATCAAGTGGGTTTCAGGGGCAGGGAACATTTTGAACCTGCTGAAAGGTTCAGCTAGGAACACACGTGTCCTGGGGCTCAGCCCTGCCTCACTGCCGCTCATTTTACAAGCTTCACTTTCGTAATCATCCTCTAGGGGGTTAAATAAGACACAATCAAAATGCCCGAAAGCGCTCTGCAAGCTAATGCATAGGGGTCTGGAGGGGGATCCTGCACCTTCCCCAGCACTTGGGAACACGCTCCTTTGGGCAGCAGAGCTGCACGGCACACGTTGCGTGGCACACACTACAGCGGCACTGGATGGTAGCACCACAACCCGTACTGCATAGCACAGAACTTCCACAGCGTAAGGAAGCTTCATCCCATGCCTCTGCCTTTAATATCAAAGAAAGATTGGCCTCTACAAATGGAGAAAAGTGAAGAAACTGGGGCTTTCTAGTGGGAAGCTTATTATTTCTAGTGACAGTTCACAGATGTTGCCCAGAGCCAGCCATCATGGCACGGTGTGATAAGGCAGCTACCCTGCTTTAGGTGCACCATTTCCATTTAGCCTTCATCTACACTTAGCAAAAAAAATCGCTAGAGATTCCCCAAATCCCCTCATCTGTCACCCCCCTCCTTCCAGTGACTGAGGGCAAGCAGGTGCCTAATGGTGGGCGCTGTGAACCCCCCTCCCAGCACGCTGTGGCCATTTACAGACAGCTGCTGTGCTGGCAGCTCGGCGGCCCTGGAGTACTTGTACAGCTCCCTGGGAACAGGCACTCCAGCGCACGATTAGCTGCTTAGCTTCCTGTCTTCAAAAGAATTGCTCTTTTCCTCTAGTATTTTCAGAGCGTAATTAAAAAGCAAGTAAGCTTCCTGTTGCTATAAAAACGCCTGCAATAAGCCTCTTCTGAACGGGAAGGGCTACAACTCGTGGATGAGGCTTTCCCACCCCCCGTACCGAACATCGGGAGGAACTCCACGACCGGTGCTGGACGAGCCGGGGCAGCGGGAAGCCCCCAGCCGGGTGACGCGGGGTCGGCCGAGCCCAGCCGCTGTTAGGCGACTCCGCGCCGCTTTCGTTCCCGGAGCCGCGGAGCAGCGGCGGCCCACTGGCGCCCCCTGCCGGCCGTGTGCTGCGGTTCCCGGGGCTGCGCCGGCCTCGAGCGTCTCGAGGCTTCATCCACCGGAAATTCTTGATTCAGGGTTTAGTTTAGAAATGATTTCATTCTCCCGCAAACAAAGCAATGCCCTGCTTATTTGTTAAAGAAACACGGGTAGCTCCACAAGCTGCCGAGCGTGAAGATAATATGCATGTGCACCCCACACCCAACCACTGTAAGCTATTTCTGTGATGGAAGGAGAGCATCCTTAGCCTGTACAACTGCACAGCTTGTCCAGTGCAGCTGTTTTGGTAGAAAACATCTCTATTTACACTAATCCAGAGGTGTGCTCCAGTTATTCATCTATCATAGAATGGCTTAGGCCGAAAGATACCTTAAAGCCCACCCACCCGCTGCAGTGGGTTGGCTGTCTCTCAGCAGATCAGGCTGCTCAGGATCCCATCCAACTTGGCTCTGAACACCTCCAGAGATGGGGCACCCACAGTTTCTCTGGGCATCTGTGCCAGTGCCTCACCACCCTCTGAGTAAAGAACTTCTTCCTGACGTCTAACCTACATGTCTCCTGTTTCAATTTAAAGCCCTTCCCCTTGTTCCATAATTAGCAGGCTGCGTAAAAAGTTGATTGCCTTCCTGTTTGTAACCTTTCTTCAAGTACTGGAAGGCCACAGTGAGGTTTCCCTGCAGCCTTCTCTTCTCCAAGCTGAACAAGCCCAGCTCCCTCAACCTTTCATAACAGGAGAGGTACTCCAGCCCATTGGTCATTTATGGCAGTGGTTGGCTCAAGGGACTGGAAGGAAACCCAGGGGAAAGCCTTTCACCCTGGGTGACAGTGGGTCCTGAGGTGCAGACACACAGCACAGGAGCTCCCCACCCCCAGCTCAGGGCACATCACCTCCCCTAGGGCTTGGCAGTCTCAAAGAGTCCCCTGGAAGAAGCTCAGACTCTACCCTTCCTGCCTGGCACTTCCAGCCAAGATGAGCAAGAGAAAAAGAAAACCTTTTTGGAGTGTCAACTGTATAGGGAGTAATAGGGAACTTGCAAGGAGAGCAGGGATGAGGTGGCAAAGACTTCCAACAGTCATTCAGTTGTAGTTTCCTGAAAAAACATCAATAGACTGAGAGGCATTTGGACTTTTTGTTGTTAGATATCAATATTGTAAGCAAATATTTAGCACATTGATTCATTCCTGTCATTTGGACAAAGGTCTCATAGCAGCCTGCTCACCACTTCCAGCCTAGATCAGTCACTTGTGTAGCGTGCTCAGTAGTTGCAGAGATCCAGCAAATCTAATCTGAAAACTTCCTTATGCTATTTCATATTGTGTAGCAGCTGGTATTTTATCTCATCAGCAGAGGCCAGTTCCTGTGCAATTTTGTAAGTGTACTTGCTCCTCTGAACAAATGAATGAAAGAACTGAAGAATGAATGCTGCTTGGCAGCATGAGCATGTGAGTAGCAGGGCCTTTCAGGCACACTTAGGCTTTATGCAGAGCGTATCAAGTGCCTCTGGCCCACCAGGTTGATCTGAAGAATTCCTTCTTTGAAGTGTATTATATGGTCCTGTGACAAGAAGCTGACACTTGCCATTCAAAACCCAAAGAGATTATGCTGTCCTAATTCCACTGCCACTGAACTCAGCAAAACCAGTCTGGTCTCAGTCTGAAGTATGGTACTGCAGAAGCATCTTGCCATATGTTTCTTTAAATGCTTCTCCATGTTTAAAATGGAGATATACCCAATCCCAGGCAGTATCTCCTTCAAATCTATTTCAAACCTGACATTTACAGCCTTTATACTATTTCCCCTTCCACACACACACTGTCCTCCAAAGAGCACAGACCAGAAACAACCTTAAACAGAAGGAAGGAAAGGTTAGTTCTCTACTGCACCTCAAACACAGGCTGTTGAGCCTTCCTGGCTGGCTGCAGTGTGTCCTGCAGGTACAGTACGTATAAAGCTTAAGTGCACTAGGTGACGTTGCTGTGTTGAAGTAACAACCTGCTAGTACAAACAGCACTCATGGGAATGAATGAGGCAGCAAGCCAAGGCCATTTCAAAAAGGATGATTTACCTTGTCAGAACATGCCAGGTCTTAATTCAGAGTGTTAAATGTTTTAAAAACAGGTGTGTTGACAGACATCACTTCCCTCCCATGTCAAAGACGGGGGTGTCAGTGAACAAGCAGAGTTTCTTGGCTCACCCATGATAACATTAACTGCAGCTGCCTGCAGGCCACAGTGTTCTGTGAGAGCCTGTGAATATGACAGCTCCAAGGAGCCAAGTCTCCCCTGCTCAGCTGCACACCATGACAGCAGGCATCAAGGAGCCACTGCCCATTTTGGGAGTTCTGCTGTCAGATAGAGGGCTCCTAATGTGCACATGCAGGAGTGCGTGCCTGAAAAGCTGCCTCCAGGAGCACGTGAGAATGTGCTTCAGAGTCTGCTGGTGCAAAAACTATTGTTACAGAATACTAATTGCATCAGTATTTTGTGCTCTCCAGATATACAGCTAGAGTATTTCTTAAGGACAAACACCAAGTTAGTCATCTATTTAAAACTTGATATAAATGTTTGTTGAGTAGTTAAAAAAAAAATCTACAACGCAGAGCTGATTCCCTCCTCCTCATCACATGGTGAACCCCTATTTGTTTATATCAGCTGATCCCTAGACTCTGTTTGATCTAAGATTTGACTTGGAGATATTCCTGCTTTACAGTAAGGTAAGGCAGCCACTGCCAGTCCAGGCAGCTCCACCCAGACTCACAAGTATAACATTAAGAAGCAATTTGATGAATCAGAAGAGGATTTCCTACAAGTATTACAATTTAATTGAACATCTTTATAAAGAAAGTGACACACTGATAGGACTGGCTTCAGCATCTTGGTGGCTAGGAGGAAAATCATGCAAGCGCAATCCATTTCAGAGTG